ATATAATTATACTTCTCCACCTTATATACATTTGGTCTCAATCAAATGTACAAGCTGATTTCTGAATTTGCAACTTAAAAACAACTGCATTCAGACAAACAAAGATACCCATGAGGCCATGAATGAAATGTCTTTATGGCCCCACATCTCTGATGCATACAACAATACAGGTATGACGATCTGATTAAACAGCTAACTGAGTTTTAACAGGTAATCCTGAGTCTCTAGCTTTAGTTAACAAACTATAAAGAGCTTACTACATTTATTTTAAAGCTACACTTTAATGGTAGTTTATAACATAAAGTATACATATACTAATAAATTAAGACATATTCTTACAGTAATTAATCAAATTTAGTTATTTCGTGGGTAAAATCTATTTTTTAATCAAGTCTATTCTGGTCTGGCTAAGATGACATATTTGACAGATTTGAATACAGGCAGATCGAGCCATATTTTTAAAATGAGAAAAACTGACAGATTTGGTTTCATATTTTCCAGTCACCTAATTCAATCAACCTAAAGTCAAAAACTGAAAATACTTGTTGCCAGAAAAGTAGTAACTCCGTAAAAGCGATTAAACTAGTAATTAATCATCAAAGCAGTACCAATGAATCCACTGTTTCAGATCCACACGGTGACTTTATCACACTCGACCATCCATTAAAGGAATGTTATTATGAGTAGTTATTAACTCACCATTAGGAAAGGCCAGGACACTGATGACCAAGAAGAAGAAGACGACTACCAACAAACCGACACGGAGGTTGTTATCTGTGTGTTCATCATCCCTGTCACGGCACAAATTCGGGTGTGAACTAAAACATGAAGCTTTTTAAAACAATTGTAAACAGCAACGTACAATTTCAGCTTGTTATCCACCTGGTGAAGGCAAAGTACATCAGGCTGAGCACAGTGACTGTCAGCAGAGTGATGGTGTGCGGCTTATAGAAGAAGTCAATGGAGATATCCTCCACTTGTTGCTCGTTTATCATTCGGAAATGTAAGTTATAGTTCGCGTCGTCCTTCCTCGGTATTCGGGGTCCAATCGTAGCTGCCATGTCGCTGAGACAAATGCCTCCTCCTGAACTTTACCGATGCAAATTTATCCGTGAACACTAAAAGTTGTGAAATTATGAGGGGTGATGTAAAAACAGACCAACAATCAGGAACCTTGAAGACGGACTGAACCAAGCATGATCGTAGGGGCGTGGTATGCCAAAGAGTTTTGTAATACTCCCCAGAGCAAAAGTTATAAACTACAGCAGTGCATTTTTTTAAACTGTATTAATGTTATGTTATGTTTTTAATTTTGTATGTATGACACTTTTTATCTGCTAAATATAAAAAAAAGACATCAGGTATGCGTAAAAACACGGCGTTGTGGCACGTCCCATAAAGTGACGTTTACGTGAAGCACTTCCGTTAGCGCGCACGTGAAAATACTTGACATTGCAAGACGGTGAAGAAAATGCTTTGATTCATAAACAGTGAGTAATACAACACTATGAACTGACGCTGGATTTAAAGAATTATTATTCTGCTAGCATACAACGATGTAACCGTGTCCAGCTAGCCTCTCGTAGGCTAGCAAATCATTAACCGAGCTATCTGCATAGCTAGCTAATCCGGGGAAAGTATATATTAGTGACTTAAGGTTTTTGTAAATATGAATGACACGAGCATTTCATCTTTGTCTTTTTGAAAAACACACCATCGCGATGAGCAAGGCTGACCGTGACGGTGGTGAACTCCACTGTTGATCCTTTCCCAGTTCTGGCCCACTTGTCAACCAATCGACATTTGACCGAGGCACAGTGCCAGTTAAGATTTTAGAGGACTGCACCCGAGCACTTTTGCAATTGGCAATTTTTTTTAGTGACACGACAGGTCCTTAAGGACCGTCACTTCTTCTTTTGTCCCCCACTTGTCCAGTTTCCTCAGATTTTTTTGTGAGGGCATACTGCAAACCATGCTGAGACATACCAGGTCTTCAGCTAATAGCTCTTTGGGAATCACCTGGTATAAAAATACAAATTTGTGCTTGTGTTACCCTCTGTATTTTTCAACTAAAGAAATGGAAACAAGTGATGTGTTTTGTGACAGGCTGCTGGTACAAAGTGCCTAAAGATACATTTAAAATTGGTCCTTGTCTAAAATGTGTAGACACAACACTGGTTCCCTTGAGTCATCTGCCTTTTTATGGTGGAAGGATTCGTTAAAATGAGGGAAATAAAAACATTTCTCTGAAGGCCAGATAAAAACAACTTGGCTTAAAATTGGTGAAAAAGCAGCCAATGTCCAAAGAAAACAAAGTGAAAGACCTTCAGAAAGCCTGGAGAACTGTTGCTCAAGACCACTTTAAAAATTACAAGAAAGTCTGGCTACTTGAAAGTAAAATATAAAAAATAAAGGAATGACAATTAACTGAAGACCTTTTCCCACTACTGTATGTTGCATGGTATGCCTCTAAAATATGTCATGTTCATTTCTTACAGAATAACCATGGCCTCTACTTGTGCACAGCTGTGTCTAAGAGGCACAGGTCCTCTTTACTCTAAGACGGTGAGCAGTACCTGGCAGTATTACACTCGGGTTCAGCAGCGGATTAAGGTGACAAGAGTACCAACAAAAGTTATTAGTGGATTATCAATCAGGGGGAATCACACAACAGCAACAACGCTGACAAGACTGAGGTGGAAACAACAGATTTGCTTCTACAGTGACTCAGCAGCTAAATATCTGACAACCGAGGCAAAGGAAGGCACGAATACACAAGAGCTGTCAAGAACTAATGTTGGAGCACACAAGGCCTCACTGTTACCAACCAGAGATGCTGCACTAACTACTGAAAATAGTCATATATCATTAGGTAGGTAGTAGTTTGCTGCTGTGATTGTTCATTAATTTAAAGGGTTTTTTGTATCACGTTGGAATCTGCTCATCTGTAATTTCTTTATCAAGCAGATTTGGATCCTGTGGCTCAGCCTTCAGCTTTAGAAGAGATCAGTGATGAAGAGGCCATCAGTATATCTGTTCCCTCTGCCATCCCTCCAGCCTCCACCACTCTTAGAGATTATGTCGATAAGTCTGAGACGCTTAGCAAGTTGGTACAACTAGGTAATCAAAATAACCACTTTGGAATCACAGTAAAACCTCATCTTCAAAATCTGAACTCAAATGTTATTATTTCTAATCATTCACCCACCCCTTCTCATTGCAGGGGTGAACTTGTGGAAGCTGGAACAAAGGCCTAATGTAGGCTCCATGCTGCTGAGGCTCAACTTCAACACAGATGTGACCCCGCGGTTACTGTTTCTCAAAGACATCGGCGTGGAGGATTCTCGCTTCAGCTATATTATCTCACACAACCCCTTCATTCTCACTGAGAGTTTGGAAAACCTACAGGCCAGGTAGCTCAAAGGCATCTTAATGAAAAGCTTTACATGTCGAGGATCTTTATTGTAACATAAATGTGTCTGATGTGATTAAGTAAACCCATGAAATTTAAAAAATCTTATCTGATTTTGATTTTGCCTGATCTCCCTCTAAAAGTCATCTTCTCTTGTACATCTGGACCACTTTAAGGGCACTGGAGATGTTTTGTTGTTGTTGTTTTGGGTTTTTTTGCTCATGTAATGTCCCATTTTGAGCACCTGTTTTTTTTTTAACAATTTAACCTCAGACTTGAACAAAGAGCAGACAACAACCTCTGTGTCGTACTGACCCATAATGAGGCTCATCACTTGTAATGAGACCTTGTCTGCATAGTATGAAAGCCCGAAGGTCAGGAGCATGATGATGAGGATGCTCGTTGTTGTTTTTAATGTTCAGGACATTGTCCACATGAATTAGTAAACCAGAAACAGGCTGTCAGTGTGAGGTTTAGCTGTGTTGTCTTAAGGTGGCTGATGGAGGACGTTCAGTGGAAACAGCTGGAACTATGGAGTTTTTTGGCCACACTAAAATTATTGGCCCTCACCATCTGCCTATTTGTTAGATTTACCTCCCTGGAGCTTACTCAAAGTGAAATCCAAGATAATGTTTTGCCATTTTTACATAATGGAGGTGATACAGTGAGCTTTGGCAGTCCAGGTTCAAGGGGTCAGAATAGGACGGAACCCGTGAAAGAGAATAGCAGGACCCCCCCGGAGCCTAAATGCTGGTGATGGAGAGGAAGGTGGCTTGAATGGAGCTTGAATGGTGACAGCTGGAGATGGGGAAGAGGTGGGTTGTGCGACATCTGGGAAGAAGAAAAACGGATGGGCAGTGAGATTTAAAGCAAGCAGCGTAAATGCTGATTGGCCTGGAGAAGGCCGGAAGAAGGTGATTGGACTAGACCAGTGATGACAGAAACAGCTCGACAGTGTGGGAAAGTGGAAGTGATAAAGTTTAGATTTATCCGGCAGCACCTGGAAGTGGACAGATGTGAGGCCATAGGTCTTCATTATTGAACTTACGCATAAGCTTCATATACTTTAGGACCTTCTTGGCGATGTGAAGTGAAAACGATATGTGATGTCAATGGCCTTTCAGCCGTGTCGCTGTAATGACCCCACGCACATTAGGTGGTACTTGATTGTAATAGAAAACTTCTGAAATTGAGTTGAGTTGAGTAGGTACTGCTGGAAAAGAGCTATTTGTGTTCATGTGTTGTGTTACTGTTATGACCCTATGAGTGTTCTCTCTCTCTCTTATCATTTGTGAAGGGTGAACTACCTCAAGTCAAAGAACTTCAGTTCAGAGACGGTTGCGTCCATGGTGTCCAGAGCTCCTTATCTGCTCAACTTCAGCGTGAACAGGCTGGACAACAGATTGGGTTTTTATCAGCAGCAACTTAGCCTCAGTGCTAACAATGTATGCAGCTATGATAGGAGATATATGATATGAGCCGTGCTATTATGCTTTTGTTATAGTGTGTTATTACAGCTTATAGGTTGTTTTGCATTTCTCCCCAGACACGGAATATTGTAGCTCGTCTTCCCAGGTTACTGTGTGGCAGTTTGGAGCCCGTTAAAGAAAACTTAAAGGTACAGGAAAAACAGGAGACATTATTAGAAGTTGTCAGTTTTTAGATGTGTTGTTCTCAGTAGATTTTGTTGATTTACTCTACAGGTGTGTGAAATAGAGCTTGGCTTTAAGAGAAACGAGATCCAGAACATAGTTCTCGCTGTGCCCAAACTTCTGACTGCCAATAAAAGGAAGCTGACAGAGATATTTGACTTCATCCACAACACCATGAAAGTACCCCACCACCTTATCACCAAGTTCCCACAGGTAGGTCTCTCTTGCGCTCATATTTTCAAGTTTTAAAGTACTATGAACTGATTTTCTTTGGCTGTTTTGAGGAATTCTAACTCCAGTAACTGACATCTTTTTCCAGGTCCTCAATTCCAAGTATTTGCGCCTCAGAGAGCGCCACCTGTTCCTCGAGTATCTCGGAAAAGCTCAGTATGATCCAACCCTGCCCAGCTACATCTCTCTGGACCGCTTGGCGTCTTTGCCAGATGAGACGTTTTGCACTGAGTTGGCTTTGGCCACACTGGAAGATTTTTATTTATTCCAAAAGACACTTTGATTTTTCACCAACAGCCACATCAGTTATGTGCCAACATTAAAATATAAACATGGAGCATCAAAAGAGCTTGAAATGAACTGTTTTGTAAATATAATGATATATTAAATAGTAAGGTTTAAAGTAAATGGACTGGTTCTTACATAGCGCTTTTCTACTCTATTTGAGCACTCACAACACAACTTGCCTCATTCACCCATTCACACCCATTCATGCAAGCAGTTTTTGCTCTTTCAGCCGCAGCAATTACATAATACAATCATGCAGCTATTTAAATTATCTAAGTTGCATCCAATATTTTTCTGGTCGGGTACCGAAAACCAACATGGGAAATCTGCAGTTACCTAAACGGGTTTTCCTTTTCTCATTTAAAAAGCTTGATTGTGAAAGATTCAAATTGCTGATGTCCACAGTTTTAACTTCGGATGAAATAATAAACTATTTCACACATGCTTTAGAATGAGCAACCATTACTGAATGAAACTTTGAAATTATAAGGACATTTTTAATCTAAATAGGTATTTTTATCATCCATTCATTCATAAAAAATATATTTTTTTTATTTTTTTAAATGTTGGATAAGTACAACTCGATTCCTTAATTGACCTCTGTGGATTTGAGCACCTGGCAAATATCATGCAAACTTCCTTTTAAAATTTTAATTTGTGGTTCTGATCAGCTCCACTTATTAATATTTTTAATTCCTCAGGAATACTCATAAACACTGAGGTCCTTGTATATGCAAACTTCTGTCTGGATCCTTACAAAACAAAGATGTGGAGCAATGTTAATAATTTTTGGGAACCCTTTTTAAAAGAAATGACCAGTTTCCGATACCATTGTTGTAAACAGTATTCTCTTAAAAATAACAATATGTTAACAACACTTACTGGACTTGTGGAGTTATTTTAAAATCCTAAGAGACTTGTAAACATCTGAAGAAAAATATTCTTTAATCATTGATGCAGACTCATGCAGAAATATTGAAATTTCTTTTAAATTTCATTTTGTAGAGTGAGAACAGACAGATGGGATTCTCAAAGTCAGTCAGTTTCTCTGGGTCTGACACAGAAACAGCACACAGTTTTGGGAAGAAGCCATTTTCTTTCTTCTTTGTAATTTTAAGGTCCTCTGACTTTTATGTATTATTGTAAACAGATACAGCTGGCTCAGACATTAATGGAGTTTCAGATGGAGGTTCCTCACAGGGAACATCAGGCATTATTTATACAGTAGTTACACTGATTTAGGCTTTATCTTCCTGAGACCCAGCCTGTTCATTATGTCCTCTGTAGTGGACAAAAAACTGTAAGATACTTTTTCCCCCTTGTTTCCCAGGAGGATATTTATACTGCATTGATAACTATTTATACTGTATTATATTGTTTTATATTATGTATACTGTATTATCCCGATTTATAATTTATTTATACTATATTTTTACTGTATTTATTCAGTGTTTACACTGATTTAAAGTGTATTTACACATTTTTAAACAAAATTTCCGCTGTCCGTGAACGTCGGACCTTAGGACAGCGTGACGTCAGATAAAGTTGCTTTTGAACGCATCTTTACCCACAACCCACCGCGTTCCTTCTCAGCGATAAACATGGCGACGAGGGCACCAGGTAAATTAACCCCTATCCTTTTTCATATTTCCAGGTTATGCTCGTTAATCCTCTCGTTTTTAACCTGTGGTCAGATCTGTTTTATTCTCTTGCTCACAGCAGGTCGTTATGTTTACTTTGTCAGTATAATTAGGCCTTCCGGTGCCTTTGACTCGTCTGTGTCCTCTAGTGTCCCCGTGCTAGCTGATGCTAACGGGTGCTGGTCAGCTAGCGTTAGCTTAGCGCTCTCCAGTGCTGGTAAAATAAGATAAATGGTATTAAACAAAGACCTCCATCCTGTTGCGCAATAATAAAAAGTGTGTTTTACTAAATGACTGATGTAGAGCTCAGCCGTCGTTTGGAGTTAAATGTAAGAAATCAACCAAACTGCTGTTAGCTCATTGCTAATGGAGGTTAAAGTTTGTTTTCTTCAGTGAATAGTTACGTCTGTCTCACAATGACATCTGAGTGTTCGTAGTTGAATGGTTGTTGTCTGATATTCATACAGCACATTTGACTAATTGCCTCTTATAAGATGACATATACTTTATGTTGGGAAATCACTGTTACAGCAGCTCATACTAAAATAGCTCAGTAAGATAAATAAAATATGACAAGATAGATTTCTCCCTGTATTTGTTAACTAAGACATCCATGTTTAACTACTAGGTCTCTGATCAGGTGATCAGTGATTGTTGGTGGTACTTTGGTCCAGGTTAGAGAAAGGAGACTGCTTTTGAGATTGAGGTTCCCTAGATCTGTGACACTACTGATACCATTAAAAAGAAGATTAAGGGCCACCTGTACAGGCTTAATTTTATTTAAACCTATCTATTTATACAATTTTAATTTTCTTATTTTGTATTGTAATGTACTTCATAACTAAAGTTGACTGACTTAAATATGTATACTAAGTGGCTAGAACACTGTTCTCCTTCTTTCCTTCCATCCTCACTGATCCTGTCTCTTTCTCATGATTTTTTTTTTCTATTTCTTTACAGCTGCAACAGGAAGGCTCCTGGTTGGCTTCCGTAAATGGTATTACAACATGTGTGGCTTCAACAAACTTGGTAAGGCCACAATATAATAATTTAAGATGATCAGAGTTTATTAGCTAAAAATGTTGCCAGTTTCGAAGCTTGTTAATGGAAACCGGATTGTCTTGAGCTTGTGGGTTTTCTGTTGCAGGTTTAATGCGTGATGACACGATCCATGAGGACCTGGATGTGAAAGAGGCCCTCAGGAGGCTTCCAGAGAATGTGTACAACGACAGGATGTTCAGGATGAAGAGGGCCCTGGATCTCTCTATGAGGCAGCAGATTCTTCCTAAAAACCAGTGGACAAAATTCAATGAGGTGCTTTCACACAAACAGACTAAATTAGCATTTTCAGTGCAGTGTAAAATGTAGTGTTAATGTTAACATGGATAGATGTAGTATTTTTCTGTTGGTCATTTCATTGGACGTGATTATTTGTTAAGTTTTCCACTGAGGCTTGAGTCATGCAGTCCTAAAGATTTGTCAGCACAGGTCTGGCAGCCACTGTTTGTTTGGGGAAAGTCTGATCCCCTGATTGGTTGTGAGTGGTCTTGGCACTTGGTTTGAAACTGGTAGCCACTGGTTGCTAGGGGCAAGTATGTATTCTGTAACTGGTTGGCGACTGGTTTCTGGAGGGTGTTGGGAGTCCATAGCCTGAAGGTGGTTGCAAAGTGGTGTGCAGTGCTGCTTTGTTGCTAGTAGTTTGCACTTAGGATGCTAACTTGTCTGCAAACTTATAACTAGATAAAAGTTGTGCAACCAATACATTTCAAAAGCCACAGCCTTCATTCTCCTTTCCTGGTATGTATCACACTTTCCTCACTACCAATTGAATAGTTTGCAAATGTTCACAGACAAGTTGTCTTCCCTGCAAACTACTGGCAACAGTTTGCTAGTGACTACTGTAATCATAAGGATGTTGTTGGTGCAGAACCCTCTCTATGATTGATTTCACCTCTTATCAGTCAGCTGGAATATAGCTGCTGATGAGTCCTAAGTAGGGATGGGTATCGTTTAGGTTTTATCCGATACCGGTGCCAAATCGGTACTTTTGAAACGGTGCCGGTGCTCAAACGGTGCTCAAACCAATGGAGAACACAAAATTGGTCCAAAAACCTCTCATGTTCAGCTGTTTTTTTTGTAAAAAGATAACAATGTTAGCCTTTTCTGCAGCTATAGGGCATATATGGTATCACTCTTGGCTGGAAGCAGTGCTTAAACAATGGAAAAAACACAAACTTTGTCCTAAACCTCTCATGTTTAACTGTTTTCCACTTTTTCTTTGGTCATTTTAGCCTTTTTAGCCAGGGTGAAGGGAGTATCTGCCATCAAACAAGAGGACAGCCGCATGTAGCTATGATGATGTTTGCTAGTTCACCTTACATGCATTAATGTAATAACGTGGTTAGCCTACTCAAGGTAAATTAGCTACTCACGCAGAGAAGAACGGCTGCTGCCACCATCATCCGTCATCATTTCTGCTACACTGGCAGGGCTAGGGGCCAGGACTCTCCTCTTCGTGTTTTTGGGGGATGTTGCATAACAGGCAACCCACCCGCAGTAGATGTGCTCGGTGTGAGGTTTCACAGCAAGCTATCAAATACGGCGCATTTCTGGGCTTTTAAAAAAAACGCTATGCGTCGCCAGCTGTTTAATCGGATTCTTGGTGTTACCTCCTTTGACAGTATCACAGTATCAGCTTAAAGCACTTGTTGCAGGCTGCTGAGTTTGCATATTTTGCTGTGAAGTACAGCCAGACTTTTGACCGCTTCGCCTTGGGCATTTTTAATCTGTAGCTCTGCTCTAACAGAACGTACGTACCTGGCCCCGCCTACTATCCTCGGAAACGTAAAATGATTGGCTAGAAGTGTATCACAGCTCAGGAAAAAAAAGCACCGAAATAAAGCACCGAAATGTGCGCTGCTTTTCGGTCTGGTTACTACCGTTTATGTCAGAACCGGTGCCATCATGGCACCGGACACCGGTACCCATCCCTAGTCCTAAGTGAATTCTCAGTGTACGATATGAAATTTTAGTCAAAGTGTGGAAAAGAAAGATAAGTAAACAGAACTATCACAGAGGTTTTTGGGGAAAAAAAAAAAATCTTAGTTTAGGGTGGGATTTTTAGCCTCTGCTGATTACTGACGTCATGTATTGTGCCTTGTTTTTCCTGCAGGATATCCACTATCTGACTCCATACCTGGAGGAGGTGATCCGTGAGAGGAAAGAAAAAGAGGAATGGATGAAGAAATAGACCATTCCAGTTCGCAGCTGTTAATCTTCGGTTGGTTCGTGGTCGTCCCCTGGTGTAATATTTAACATGAAATGTAATCTACATATATAACACAGTGCTCATTAAAGAAATGTACATTTTGAAACATGTCTGTCATTTATTTGATATTGATATGACAAATTACAGTTTCAGAATTACTATAGAAGGATCTGTCACATGTTTCAGTGTTGGGCTGCTTATAAATATAGTTACAGCATTTAAACAAGAATATATAAATTAAAACAACATGCACTGTATATACAGCTAATAAAACATCTTAGCAATAACCACTATAGTTGCTATCTGCATTGCACATCTGTTTAGTTTTATATAATTAAGTCCTGGAAGAAAACAGTTAGCATTTGTTGACACTAACATAATTCCTGTCTTAACTATAGTTAAATCTGGTTTACTGGATCCATTTTCACAGGTTTGAATGAAGCAGCAGACTTTGAGCTCAGGACTAGTCACAGTAAAAATCAATCGTCTTTCCAAGTCTGGGATCTCCTGTTGTTCACATCGGTTATCGTACCTATAAAAGTGCCGATGACGGCGTTAAAAGATTTCAACATGGACACCCCTAGCTCATTACTGGTTTCATTGATGTCTGGATCGTAGGCCCCCATGATGGGGGTGCACACTTCCACCCCATCTCTATCTGCTCTTTCCAGGATGGCCATCAGCTGGATCCTGATCTCCTGAAACAGCTCCGTGTTGTAACGCAGCAAGACCGAATCGTCCAGAGGATACGTGACATCATCTGCGTAACATTCACGGGGCACAGGTGCCTCTATGTACCTTAACTTGGGAAACCCTACAGATAGAGTGGAGAATAACCTAAGCAGGGCAACAGATGTCAGAGGGTTTCCCATAAGTCTGAGCTCCTCCAGTTGCTGACAGCAAGCCAGAGCATTAGTGAAAGCGTCCATGTGCTCGTCCTTTATGTTGCACTCCTCGAGAGCCAATCTCGCCAGAGTTCCCGAACTCCTGCTAAGCAATTTGTGTACAGGGGTGGAGAAAGAGTCAAAGAGGTTGTGTCCACTGATGTCAAGGTGAACCAGGGTCTCACTGTGGAGACTGTTGGCCAGGTAGGTCATGTCTACACGGTTCAGGCAGCAGTTGGCCAACTCCAAGCATAGTAGAGGTGTGTTGAGAGGACTGTGAGAAGGAAACAAAGGAGAATAAAAATGACTCTGGTATGAAATGCTAATAGAGGTAGACATTTGTAGTCAAACAGGAGCGGTACAGGAAATGCTTAAAAAGGTACAGCTAACAGGTGACAAAGGATAAAAGAGAACACTCATGGCTCTTATACGCTAAAGGGCTGGCACGTTTTCCTTAGACGGAAGTGTTACGTTAAATCAGTGAAGGACGTAGAGATCCACTTCATCAGTATGAAAATGTTTTTCATTATGTTGGTTGGTCACCCATCTGTACATCTTTGTAAACGCAAATTCAATCTTTTGTCAAAGTCTTTGCTCACTTATTTGTTAATTTTATGAACAATGTGCTGCAAGCTTTTGCTCATCTACACCTTGTTTATTGAGCATCAAAACATTTTACATTACAAAATCTATACTGTGCATACTCGCTCCTGTTCTATTTCCATTTGAAGGTGAATACCCAGCGGGTCTTTGTCCTGCAGCCACCTGTCCTCGCACTGGCACCACATCAGCAATTTTAACAACAGAATACCTTCCACTGTTGTACAATTGACAAAGGTTAAAGGTGGGTATTTTGAGCTGTGTTAAAGCTCTTGGTGTTGTTGCTGATCAGGTCTACAATCAGCATGCATTACATGAATAGACAAACTTAGGGCACCTTGTTGTCTGTCTCTTTATTGCTCCCTGTCTGTGCTTGTACTCACTTTAGCAGTCTCCGCAGGTGTCCAGTGAGAGTAGAAAAACCAACATAGAGCTCAGTGAGGCTGCTCAGTCGTGCCAGCAGGTTGCCAATGGTGGCCAGCAGATCCTCGTCGTCAGAGCCGAGCCTCCTGACATCCAGGGCGCTGGCTGGCAGGGTCAGAGACTGTAATTTGGGGAATTCCACCCTTGACAGCAGCACCTCCAGGTGTGAGGCCTCTAGAGGAATATTGTGCACCACCTCCAGCTTTGTGATGGACTCTGGCTCTGCTAGGCGAAGAACATAGAACAGCTGCTTGAGAGTGAGAGAATCCGCCCTAAAACTAACAAAGCGAAGCTTCATGGGACAGTAACGGAGGAGCAGGAAGGCCTGAGCTACCAGCTCGTAGTTGCGGCCTGTGACGAAGCCGTTCAGACGGACATCAACAGATGTTTCAAAGGCAGATTGGGACACGTCCATATCTTGCATGGCCACCATGGTCTCGTAGCACAGTTTTGTCAGGAGCTGGGTTCTTGCCCATCGACCCAGGGTGGATTTACAAGGGCAGGCCTGATGCTCAGTGTCCTTAAGGGCAGTCAGGTCCACCGTGTGAAGGCTCTTGGCATATGTTCTCGGGGGAGACAGCACATAATCCTTAGAAAACAAGAGAACATTACATTAAAGGTGACTATTCATGAGGCAATGACAACAGAAATGCAACTGAAATGAAAATGATTAGGGGTACATTCAAGGTGGGTGGTTTGGTACCTTTAGGCCGTTGAGAATTGCTTCCAGACAAAGCCGGCAGGTGCGAGATGTGAGGTCTAACTGACAGTCGGCTGTCTTTCCCAGAAGTCTTTGTAGGTTGAGTTCAGGAAGAGGCCACATCTGGACCAAAGCATGCAGCACCTCAGCCTGCTCGTGGAGGTAGCAGGCCTTGAAGAGAAGTGGGTAGAGGTTAAAAGACACACAGGTGAGGTTTTCCAGAGTTCTCGCACCAGCCTGAATGAAGCCTTCAGCAGCAAGGAATCGCAGGGACTTCATGTCTTTAGTTTTTTTTTGTGTGTGTTGGTATGTATTTGATTCAGCGTCTTGTCTCTTTTGTAGCTGCTGCTCCGTTGGTATCTTCTGTTGCTGTCTCTCTGGGTGTTTTGCTCTGGTGAGGCAGGAGAGAGGCACAGAGGGTAAGTAAGAGGGTTGAGGTTATAAATAGCAACAGCTGTCTCACGTCCTTCGCTGGACGTGGTTTCTATTTGCAACTTTTGCCAGACAGATTAGCAGGAACAACATCTGAATGCTCACGAGAAGCTTCACTTTCCTCCTCACAGCACACCAAATGTTTGGCGTTTAACACAGGTTTAACTATTTTGCCATCATGTACTTCATTTTATGTATCTGCTATTCTTTTCCAACCAAACTACTTTGTACAACATAGAGGTGCATGCTTGCAGGGCATTGTTGTGCAACTGAGGATTTTTGTCAGGGGAGATACTGTGGTCACTGCCCCTGTACTAACAGAGCCATCCTCATATAAATAATAACAGTCTAAACAACTTTATTGCATGTGTCTCACATTTGACATTATAATATCTGTATTGGGGCACTGATGAGAAAAGAAAATCCAGAATAAGGTGAAGACTAAGCTAAAATATTACTAAGCTGCTCTTACCTGTCTTATATGATGTGTATTACATGAGGTTATGATGGGTGGTAGTGGTGATGATGCTCATGGAAGTGATGGTGCTCATGTCTCTGGGCCAGCGGGACACCAAAGGAAGGCTGAAGGCTGTAAAACGTCTCCCTGTCTTGTCCTGGCTGTGCCTGGAAGCCAGCGTGTGTATGGGGCGAGGCAGAATATTGTACCGTGGAATGAAGCTTCCTGCTGTGGGAGCGACGCGGGAGGCTCTGGGAGGCTCGAAGGAGAGTCTGGGTAGGATGGCACCACGAAGCAGGATGCCGGCCATGCAACCTGCAGGACTTTCTCTCAGCTCTGGTCCTATCACACATGGATCTGCTTCTCATGGAGTGAACAACACGGAGGTCTTGAGGTGACTCAGAATGCACAGTGTTCTTACAGTGCACCACTAGATGGTGCTGAAGAGGAGGTGAGTCTAAAAAAAAAAAAAAAAACAGAAGAAAAAAACCCTTAAGTGTATTTTCCAGAAGACGGACGGACGGACGCGCACACACGCACACACACGCACACACACGCACACACACACACACACACACACACACACA